TGCTGAGCTGTTCCGCGACGAAAACAATGTTGAGCAATGGCAATGTCGAATGGTGACACTCGGTAAGTAATCCTACAATTTTTTGTTTATAGCGTAGTTTATACGGATTATTCCCAAAAAATATATACGTATTTTGGAAATGTTGAGTCGGATTAGTCTAGAATCGATTAATTTTATGGAAGAAAATCTTTCAAACAGCCGTAGTCCGTAAACTTGATACGTGTCGGGTTGTGATTGGAAGGATTCGTAAGAAATCGGATTCCTAAAGAATGGAACATATCTCTATCTTATAGGGGGGTCAACTGTACATTATATGGCTCCTATCATGACAAGGTTTGGCTATTCCTGATATATACAATGATAAAATTAGCATAAAGAATGATTTACAAATTGCTTAGAAGTTACTTTACATAAATAACAAACAAATTTTTTATGTATTTAACAAAAGTAATAATAACGTTTTTACATTAGATCATTGATGGTATATTTTAAAAACAGTTAAAAATATAACCTGAAGTAGCCAAATCACAAATAACAACATGCAGTTGTTCATAAAATATATCTTGGTTACTTGACTTTTGGACCATCTCTGTAGTTTGTAGTGAAGAGTAAATGTCTCAAGTAGTATTTGTTTAATTGAAATCATTTAAAACCAGTATTTATTTAAATAAATAATATATATTAATAAATACAGTACATACAGAACAAACTATAGTTGACCCCCCTATAACACTGTAGATACGTTCTGTTCTTTATGAATCCATTTTGTACAAGTCCTTGCCAATCACAGCCCAACACGTGTGCAGTTTATGGACTACGGCTGTTTGAAAGGTTTTCTTCCATAAAATTAATCGATTCCTAGACTAATTCGACTCAACATTTCCAAAATACGTATATTTTTTTGGGAATAATCCGTATAAACTATGCTATAAACAAAAAANTTTGGTGTATTAGACTTATGGTACCTAATTTACATACTGTACAGATGATAGTAAACTCAACTTACTCGCCTAAACTCTCCGTAGCGTGGCGCTGGACAGCGGAAAGTATATATATATAATTATAATAAAGTTACAATAAATTAAGTTAATATATAATTATATATACAGTACCTAATTTATATACAATACTGTACAGATGATAGTAAACTCAATTTACCCGCCTAAACTCTCCGTAGCATTGCGCTGGACGGTGGAAAGTAGTTCGGCTGCCCGATGATGTTTTACCGAATTATAGGAGTTTTTTTACCATGTTTGTATAGATACCGTCGCAATTTTTTCGCCGTCATATAGGAATCCGAACTATAGGAACCTGTATTATAGGGGGGTCGACTGTATTAATGTAAGTTAAATATCAAAAATACTATGGTTTTCCTATGGTTATGGTTATACTATGGTTTTACTATGGAATTCCAAAATTGGAATGTGTAGAACTGAAAATTTTGAAAAATATTTGTAAACTATTTTCCTTTTAGTTCTATTATTGTATTCATAACCTTTAGTGATTTTACATTATTATTGTGTAAGGAACCTAAATTTTGAAACCCATTACAACTTCATGTGAGCAAAACATGTACTGTACACAAGACATGCCACAAAAAGTAAATAAACTAGACATGTGGGATTGCAATGACCTTATTCCAGGAGGATATAAACCCCTTAAAAGCTAGCATCAGAGAAGTGAAGCTACAACTGGCAGTAAGCAGTAACAGAAAAGGATCAGTACTGAAGGTTTTGTTTGTAGGATGAGCAACTTGTCCGTTTGTTGTGGAGATAGCTGATATTCCACTATCCGTGTCTCAGGGACCGCTTGTATACAAGGGTTTTTTGGTATATTAGCACTACTGAGTGTAAGTAGTTTTGAGTTAAATAAACCTAACTTGTGCTTTTGTTTAGATGCTCCGTCATGTCAATCCAAATCTTTCAGCAGCCAGACACTACCTCTGTTTCCCCAACACAACCACAGTTGTCTAGCATTCAGTTCAAGTGCTAACTACCGACTGACCCCTACTTACATTTCTGTAGTGTCCTTCGCATTAGGCCACATAAAGAAATGACATTACAATTGTTTTTCAAACACTTACAATGAAATCTCATTGCATCATTCCTGTTACCTCCATTTCCTATATATTAAACAAGACTATTTTTTCTCACATATATCAGTCACCAAACTATTGTTTTATCATAATCAGTAAAAAATCAAGATCCTGATCAACATTTCTCACATAACATTTTTTAAAATTTGAAAGAATAATTTTGGCAATAGATTGAATGCATGATAATCTTGAATAAGTTCATAAAATCGAGTCATTGTTTGCAACCCCCCACCATATTGTCAGAAGTATATTTAACTCATACACAAATGCCAGAATAACAAAAAATTTTGAAAGATGAGCATTTGAAGCTTTATGTGGCTGCCATAAAGCACACATGCACATCTGTGAATATTTGTGAATTTCATTGAAAAAGAATGGAAAGTGCTTAAAAATTCATTAGGAAACTATTATTTGCAGAATCATTCTTTTCTTTTTCAAATAATGAACTGATATAAAAGCTTGTGCCAGTGTGTTAAAGCCATCAAGTTTGTGCTAAAAGAGAACAAGTTGATCTTGATTGACCAAATAATAAATTTCCTAATGATTTTTTAAGCATTTTTTTTCCCCTTTTTTAATGAACTTCACAGGTATCCACAGATGTATAGTACACGTGTTGTGGCAGCCAAATTAAAACTTCAAATTCTTATAACTTATAATTAAGCAATGTTTTGGAAAAAATGTTTCAGATAAGTTTGTCTGTTTTTGTGTAAAATCATAATATAAAATATAAAGTGGAGTTTCCCATTTAAGAAAATAAAGCTGAACTGTTTTCACTAATTGTAGAGTCATCCGTGATGAAACAATAGAGTCACCTTATGGCCCCTTAAAGTCTAACAATTTTGATGTGATAAATTTTCCTGAAGGATGCATATTTTTTGAATTATTCCAGTGGAGCAATTAAAATGGACCACCCATATACATGGTAGTTCAAAACTATGAGGTCAAACTTTGGGAGCAGATTCCTGGCAGGACAAAAACAAAAATGTTCTATTATAATATGTCCAAAAACACACTGGTGCCAAGACAGATAACACTATTACATAGTCACAAACTGTACAGACAGGACATAATATGGCATATGTATCTCAGGCAGAATTACAACAGATGCTCAAAGTATCCTCATGGGTCTCAATGCAACTAGTCACACATTGCATCTGTTTGCATCTGCAATGAATTAGCACACTCTTTTAAATGTTCTGGCTTGCATCTGAACAGTGTTACAGGCATCCATATGTTGTTCCACAATGTCCACACATTGAGAACTGGCTCAGTCTATATAATACTTTTCAGATGTCTGAAGTAAAAATCAAGAGGGTTAGAATCTGGCAACTGGGTAGACCATACAACAAACACTCTTCAACTGATTCATCTGCTGGGAAACCTTCCCTCTAGATACTGGCAGACAGTGTATTTCAAGACATATATTAATAAAACCATTTTTGTTGTTTGTCCTGTCAGGAATTCAATCAACTCTCAAAGTTTGTCCCCATAGTTTGGAACCATCTGCATATTAATTTCAACTATATAACCATACAAGTTAACTAACATGCCATTTTGGGGCATTTTTATAATCACAGCCCTCCATGGCTCTCAGCCAACTTCATAGTGTGATCAATTAAATTATTAGCTGATGATAACCTGAAACCCTGCACCTAGATATTAAGTCCTTAAGCTGCTCACAGAGTAGAGAGTTAAAAATATAAAAAAAATAAACTCACTTATAATAGATTCACAATCCAGTCTGTTTTCTTTAACCTTTATTATTTCTTCAGTTTCACTGCTACTTTCTTCAACTCCATAATCTTTTTCATCAGAACGCAACTCTTCACGAATGTCTTTTAGAGTACTAAAAATATATTACATTAAATTAAATTAAAAAAATACTTAATATTTTATAATATTATAATAATAAAACATTATAATATGAATAAAATTTGGAATAAATCTATGCTATCAAGTCTCAATTTTGCTGCTTGATGCCAAGACCATAATAGTACTAAATTTTGCTATTACAGCCAACACAAGTATCTTAACCAGGAAGTAATTTTCCAGCTGAATAATCAATGTGATATCATTTTATATAACAACGTTGACTAGATGACTGTTATGTAAGGTATTAGCCTACCATTGTATTGTGGCAAATCTGGATCAAATCCAATTCAGATACTAATAATTCATTGCAGTGTGCAGGTTAAAGAATGTCAATCTCATCCTTTATCCTATTGCAGATTTGCTGATAGAATTAATATGATAATTCCTACTACAGTACTGATAAATCAATTAAATAATTTTTTATGATGTATATTAACTTTATTAATAATTAACATAAAATTCAAATGTTTCTACTTGAAATTTTCACTTTAAGAGTTCATTAGCAGTTAATTAATATAAAATATTTACAATATTTAGGTGAATCGAAACAGATAAGCTTACATCGACATTAACAATACAGAAACTTCTAAAATCCAGCAAAAACAAGCTTTACTAAAATAAAACATGTTTTCAACAATTTTTAAAAGTCATTGTCAGGTTTAAATAGAAAAAATACAGAAAAGATAAAATACAATCTGAAAATAAAGAACATAATGCCATTGGTTGAAATGTAATGTTACATTTTAACCAATCAAATTATAATTTATTTTGTACGTGTTGTTATTTTGTACTACATTCAGTTCTAAATCATACTGTTTGGCATTGAATGATGTATTACACATTGTCAATGCAGATACAGGTTCATATTATTTGAAAATAGTGCAAGTATAGGGAATGCAAATTATTTTAATTAGCTTTCAAGACAAGAATTAGAGTAAGATTATTGTTATTGGACTGTGTTTGCAACCTCCATATTCCTTACCTTATAGAATCAATATTATTGAATAATAACTCTTTTACAGTTATTATTCAACAATAATAACTGTAAAAGAGTTCAAGTTTACTTGTATTGTTGAAATATAAACACATCTGAACTGTACATTATTATCATTTGCTTATAGGAGTCACTCAATCATCTATACACAACCTTGTAAAGAAGCAAAAAGATTTACTGTATTTTCTGGATTGACTGGCATACTTCATATAACCAGGAGAGACAAGCATACTGGTAACCTTGTGGTTTCCAGCATGCAAGTTAAACTGCAACTAAAAAATAAAATTAATCAGATCTAACAAGATTATTTGTCAATTAAATGTTAAAGAAAACATTTTTTGAAGTGCAGTAAAATAATAACATTATAATTTGATTGACTTGAAATCAGGAAGAGAGTTTTCATTTACAAGACAATAAAACAATTAATGGCTTACTGACATTAGTAATAGTAGTAGTTATCCAGTGTGGGCTGCCCTGACCTTAAAAATAACACCTTCCTCTCAAATTTCACACAAAGGGGATGTTAATCAGTGTAATTTAAGTTCCTGCAAGTTTCTGAAATTTAATATATTTATTTTTGCATTTTTGAATCAAATTACATTAAAATAAACATAAAAACACACTTTCTGTATTCTATGAGTAATGTATATTGTTAGAAAGAAGACAAAATGAAGGAATACATAATTGCAGTTTTTGATGTAATGCTGACAGTTTCACAGTTTTAGAATAAAAACTCATTCATTTTTACATAACATATGACATAACTCATTCTTTTTTTATGTACCTTCTAGTGAGATGCATATAACCTCACTTAAAATGGCACGCCAGTTTTTACCATACAGAAATATCTGATTTCATAGTCTCCCCAAACAGACCAACATGCCAGACAATCTGTGAAAATATAGTATTAAACTGAAAAGGTAATATTTTTTATCTTATTTAATGACTTTTTTAATACAGAAAAAGTTTTAACAAAGTTCTTTTGCTGATGTATGAGGTTGCATATAGCTGATTAACTTACTACTGAAGCAGTTAGTTACCTTATAAATTATTTTAACATAAGCTTATAAATAATAAGTTGGATATTTAGATATTTCAAATTCAAAATTTAAAAATATTTCTCAGTTTTTGTGTGTAAAATCTTATTACATTAGATATACTTTTTTGATATTTCTATTATTTTTTATGAACTCCTGCTGTTGATTTGCTAGTTGTTACAACATTGAAATCTCTCACCACACTTTGCTGAGAGATTTCCATGTGAAGTTCTGTTCTATTGAAACTTATCTTATAACACACAACACTTAGATTATAAAATATTTTTTCATTTGTGATAAACAACATACAATATCATCCAAAATATATAAGCAGTTTTCTGTTTGTAAATCATTATTGAAGTTTAATTAATTAATATAATTTTGTATTGATATAATGTATGCTTTTCATCAAAAATTATAAAGAAATACCTTTTCTTTTTCTTTTTTTCATATTCTTCTGCCAACTGAGTAAGAATTTTACTGTTTGGTTGAATATAGCCACAGATTTCTTCATGATCAAGTGTTCCAATTTCATCATCATCATACTGTTCATATAGCTATAACAATACAAAAAAGCATATGTCAGAAATTTTAATGCAATTCACTAGACAATTTTTTATTAAAACTCTTATTTATATTTTAATGAAAATGAAAAATTTTATATTCTGTAAATCATACAAAAATGAAAATTCTAAATAAAAAATTAGAATTTTATGTCTCAAGAAATTTAATCAATAAATAATTACTCCAAGCGTTTGCTAGAATTTTTCCATTTTATAGTTATAAATGAAACAAATTCTAAAAGAAATTAAAAAAAATTTTTTTTTGAAAATTATATAAAAACTACAATTGACTACTAATTTACCATCAGTTTTGTGGCACCAGATGATCCAACTCTCTTTTTAATCTGAATAGATTACAAGAGAATACTTAAAATTCCTACAATTACCAGATTCATCCACTAAATTGTTTTTTCAACTCTTTTCTCATTGCAGACAGACCAATTAATTATATGTGACTATGACTTATGTTTATTTATTAAACTTATATATACTTGTCTAGAGTTACTGTGCATAACAAAGTATGTATAGTAACTCTAGATTAAAGTCTGTAAAGAAATTATACATACACTTAAAATTTGTATATAATTTCACTCAATATTTATTCATTTCAATTTAACAATTAATAAGCTCATTATTATAAATAATGACTCACAAACACAACACATTCATAAATAAAAATATTCAAATTTCTGAGTGATGAATTAATATAAAAATTGCAACCAAATCTGCTTTAAAATAATTATATGTACAATAGTAAATTTGTCTTTTACATAATAATATAATTTCCTTTGTTGTGAATTAGCTTGTAAATCCTCTTAGGCATTGTTTCTGACAAGTATTATTAGTTCATGTAAGTTTATTTTATTTTAACAATTATAAATTGCAACTTTCAGTTCATCAGTGGTTGTGTATAGAGCATTTGAGAAAACAGTGCCCAGACATTTTCCATGTGATTTAACTCTGGACTATTTGAGGGCCAGTCCATTACATCTATTTTTTATTGTTTAAACTAGTTTTTGGTGGATTTAGATACAAGAAAGCAATATCTTGCTGAAATATACACTCATTTTTTCTAATCAGTGGTCCAGATGAAATAAGATTTTCATATAGCATTTTGATATTTTCTGAAGTCATTCTATCACTAATTATCATAATATCTACTTTGCCATTACAAGCAAATGCTGACTCCACCACCTCCCATCTGTCTGATAAATATCCCTTTGGTTGCTTTCTTAAATCATGCCAATAATACCTATTTTTTTTTCATCTGAAAACACCACATTTTTCCATTTGTCAGTCCAACTCATTAATGATTTTGCCCATTCTAATCTGTTTTGTTTGAGATCATTTGTAAGCTTAAGTTTTGTCTTGAGTTTAACATAGGCAACATTATCATTATTTCTGAAAACATTAGCTACTGTTGCATGATAAAAGCCTTTCTATCTATTCACAAAGAGAGAGCGTTTACAAATATCCAATTTCATTACCTGATGACTTGATATCAATTCATCAAGTGTATTAACCTATCCCACATTGAAATATTTTTCTATTGCATGTCACGCTGTGTTGAATTTTTGTTGATGTTAAGCCTAACAAAAATTACATCTTTTTGAAAAAATGATCGTGGCTATTGTATCATCCAAAATTATTTTTTTATTTTGCACAAACAAAATAGATATATTAACAAANAGTATGCTTTTTTAATCTATTGTCTGGGTTTCTGCCAGTTTCACCTATATAAATTTTATTATTAAATTATTCATTGTCCTAATATTCACAGGGCATGACACAAGGTATGTCAGAAATCCCTGGGATTTCTGACATACCTTGTGTCATGCCCTGTGAATATTAGGACAATGAATAATTTAATAATAAAATTTATATAGGTGAAACTGGCAGAAACCCAGACAATAGATTAAAAAAGCATACTAATGCTTTAAAATATAATTATGAAAACTGTAATAGTCCATCATTATAAAACTGAAGGTTACAAGATAGATATAGAAAATATAAAACTAATTGAAAGAAAATCTAAATATACAGAATAAGCTAAAGCAAAATCCATTCCCAATTCATCAATATTTTCAATTTACAAAAATAATCCAATTCTCTAAAAAGTAATAATCAAACAAGAATGTTATTCGTTATATTACTTACAACTTTGAAGAATTTTTATAATTAAATATATTGTAATAATTGCATATATGTTTAAAAATACAAATAAACAAATAAAGAAAAACAGACACAACAGATGAGTTGGAGATTGCATATACGAGAAAAAGATTTTAAACTAATAATAAGAGAAAATTTTTGATAATCTTTTAGAATATTCTGTATCCTTTCAGAATTAAAAAATTTTGCTAAATTGCCTTCTTTAGCATCAATTTTTAAATAATAAAATGAAATTATTAATAAACAATAGCTGACAGATTCATTTTAAAGGCCTTACTATATTTTTGTTGTTAATTCTACAAATATCATAATTTACTAATTAATCTTTTTTAAAAAAAATTTGTTTTTATTTCTTACCTTTTCAAATCTATCATCCAAAAACTGTAATTGTTCACTTCTTGGTAAATTAGATGAAGTTAATGAATAATTTGTAAATCTAGATCGCGTTTCTTCTTCAATAAAAGAATTATGTCTATCAAAAAAGTCATCATTTTCTTGAAATTCTGCTTCATCAGATGGGATATCGTCAAAATTTTCCATTTCGTCATCTCTGTAAAATTTATTTAAAAATGATTAAGTATTACATTAATGTCTTAGTTCAGTTATACAGTTATTACCCTTCTCTTCCTTCAGTGAGTTCTTCATCACTGTCGACATTATTAGCTATTGTAATAAAATCATCATCCAATTCATTCTCGGGATCGTCAAAATTAAAATCATCATCTAATGCTGCAACAATATCTGGATCCCAATCTGGTCTTGGTCCTATAATGAAAAAAATATATATAAATAGCAAATAACAGAAACAAATAAACATACACTTAAATAATTTATTAAAATAGAGAAATTAAACAAACAATATAATAAAATTATATGTCAAAAACACTACTAAATTTAGCCTTAAAGAAATTACAAATAGATACTCTTTATTTCAATTTTTGTATTCACTTATTAATTTCTTTCTTATTAGCAGAAAATTCTGAACATTTTTAACATTTTATCATCTTCCTTAACTTTTTAAACACACCACATAAGTGTGTGTACATACTGAGCCTTTTCAGACAAATAACTATTAGAATAGTGTATAATCATAATGACATTATGCACAGAAAATAATCATATATAACTAACTGTTTTAATTATACATATATTAAAGATAGTTTAAAGTCTTCATATATTATAAATTTTAATGAATTAATAATTTAAATATATTTTATCATAGATTCAATTCTTTCTTCCTTCTAGAATTTCTAAATTAGTAATAAATATGAGAATATACTTGTTCTAGAACACTTTGTAAAAATGGTAATCGTCTGAAATATATATTTTTAGAACGACTTTGTCTTTTAATTTTGTAAAATAGTAATAAATAGTTTAAAATATCAGATTATCACACCTGTACAGGAGAGAACAACAGGTACTATAAGCACCCTATCCATCCTCCACAGATGCCTTATTTCCTGGGCGAGTTCTGTATACTTGCTAATTTTTTCAGTGCATGTGTTTTGTACATTGTGAGTGTTTGGAATGGCTATGTCTATAATGTATGTGATTTTATTGTGTTTGTCAATGAGTGTGATGTCTGGTCTGTTGTGGTAAATTGTTTTATCTGTGATTATGGCTCTGTCGTAATACATTTTGTGCGTGTTATTTTCCAATACTGTCTGTGGAATATACTTGTAGTATGGTTCGTGGATGTCTGCCAATTTGTGTTTCTTTGCAAGCTCTTGGTGTATTATATTTGCTACTTGATTGTGTCTATGTAAGTAATCTGTCTGTGCCAAGAGCTTGCAACCAGAAGTGATGTGTTGTATAGTTTCTGGCATGATGTGACATTTTCTGCTTGTGTCATTTGTGAGTGTTGTATCTTTGAGTATGTGTTTTCTGTAGTTTTTAGTATTTATGACCTGATTATTATTATTATTATTACTATACATAGAAGCTTCTATCATTTTATTACAGGTCTCTAAGTAATATATAAATATGTATTCGTGTGGTATCACACCTGTACAGGAGAGAACAACAGGTACTATAAGCACCCTATCCATCCTCCACAGATGCCTTATTTCCTGGGCGAGTTCTGTATACTTGCTAATTTTTTCAGTGCATGTGTTTTGTACATTATGAGTGTTTGGAATGGCTATGTCTATAATGTATATGATTTTATTGTGTTTGTCAATGAGTGTGATGTCTGGTCTGTTGTGGTAGATTGTTTTATCTGTGACTAGCAGATCCCACCATGCGTTGTTGTGGCTCAAAATGTATCTATTATAAATTTATAACACGTCCCCCGTGGGGGGGAATTTTTCGAAAAATTTCTTTTTAGTGTACATTCTCTTGACGTACCCTATTAAAACGCAATCAAAAACACAAAAACCCACATCTAAAATAGTGTAATAGAAGCAGAGTTCTTTACGGTAAGCCTTAATCCCGTCCATCTCCCGGGGAGATTTCGACATGTATATTATATAAAAACACGTGCATATTCGAATGCAGCGTTGTGTCAAAATTTCAAAGGAATCGGTAGGAACAAATGAACATTACATTTTTATTTATATAAATAGATAGAAGATGATCCGCTTTAGTTCATTTTCACAGAAAAGCATAATGCCTCACAGAAAAGCAAACTTAAGGCGTCGTACTCGTAGCGCCATCTGTTGGGCATAAAAGCCTTAACCCTAGACGATATCATTTAATTTATATGAATGATTTAACGGAATAATATACAGCCTATGTCCACCCTGAAGTTCCATTCTAAATATTGGTGAAAGAATTTTTGAAATCGTATGAGTAGTTTCCGAGATTACCTGCTGCAAACAAACTTACATACAAACATTACCTCTTTATAATATTAGTATAGATTATGGCTCTGTTGTAGTACATTTTGTGCATGTTGTTTTCCAATACTGTCTGTGGAATATACTTGTAGTATGGTTTGTGAATGTGTACCAATTTGTGTTTCTTTGCAAGTTCTTGGTGTATTATATTTGCTACTTGATTGTGTCTATGTAAGTAATCTGTCTGTGACAAGAGTTTGCAACCAGAAGTGATGTGTTGTATAGTTTCTGGCATGATGTGACATTTTCTGCATGTGTCATTTGTGAGTGTTGTATCTTTGAGTATGTGTTTTCTGTAGTTTTTAGTATTTATGACCTGATCCTGTATGGCAATCATGAATCCTTCCGTATCCCCAAAGAGGCATCCCCGATCTAACCAGCTGTTTGACGCAGTTCTGTCAACAAAATCCTGGGCCAGGTCATAAGGATGCCTGCCATGGAGTGCCTTTCGAGCCCATGATTGCTTAATGGTGTCTATGATTTTTATATTTTGTGTCAAGTCTGTATGATGTGAGTGTCAGTTTAATGATGTGTTATTTGAGTCTGCTTTATGTAACTGTGATGTTTCTTGTTTCCTGTAGAAAAACTCTCGCAGGGACTGTATTTGTTTGTAGTGAAGGTTAACTATGTCAATCAGGCCATGTCCGCCATCTTTACGTGGAAGGGTTAATCTTTCTGTGGTGGATTTAGGATGATGTTGTTTATACTTAGTAAGCGTTGTTCTTGTTTTCCTTTGGAGTTGCTTGAGATCTGTGTGAGTCCAATGTATAATTCCAAAGAGTATGTGAGTACTGGGATGACATATGTGTTTATTGCTTTAATTGTGTTCTGAGGATAGCATTTAACCTATTTTGATATTCTTTAATTAATCTTTGCTTTATTTGTGTATGTTCTGTTAGTTTGGCCTGTTGGAATCCTAAATACTTGTAGAACTCACCCTCTTCTATGTATTCAATAATGTCCCCATTCCCAAGTGCAAAATCTTCTTTCTTCAGGACTCCTTTTTTCTATGTGAACTGTTTTGCATTTGTCTACGCCAAACTCCATTTATATGTCCTTGGTGTATGAATGTGTGATTTGTAGGAATTGAAGAAGTTGTTTTTGTGTGGATGCATAAAGTTTTATGTCGTCCATGTACATGAGATGTGACAACGTAAACTGTGTTGTTTTTTCATGTCTGATATTGTAGCCATATTGCGTGTTGTTTAACATGTTGGATAACGGGTTCAGGGCTCCTTGAAAAATTCCTCACCTAATGAATATTTCGTTTGTTTGTATGGAAGCGTTACTAACCCTGATATGTAGTGTTGTTCTCCAGTGCTGCATAGTGTTTTCGAAGAATGCAATGAGTGATGGATGTATTTTGTACATGTGTAGAATATGTAACAGCCAACTGTGTGGAACACTGTCGAATGCTTTTCTGTAGTCTATATATGCCATGTGTATGTTTCTGTGTTGTTTGTGTGCTTGCCGTAGAATGATTGAATCTATGAGTAACTGTTCTTTGCATTCCATGATTTCTACAGCAACCTTTTTGTTGTTCTGTAAGAATGTTGTATTCTTCAACATGTTTGTATATTTTGTTTGCGATACAGGATGTCAATAATTTGTAGTGTTGGAAGACATGTAATTGGTCTATATTGTGTAGGGTCTGTAGTGTTGTCGTTTTTACGTTTCATGTAGGTAATGCCCTGAGTAAGAAATTTTGGCATGTCTTGTGGATTGATGATGATGTGTGTTAGATGTTTAGCTAGTTCCTGGTGCAGTGATGTAAACTTTTTGTACCAGAAATTGTGAATGTTGTCTACACCAGGTGTCCTCCAGTTGTGTGTTCTGTTAACAGCATAGCGGATGTCATGTATGTTTATTTCAGCACAGAGTATAGTTGGTATGTTGTGCAAGTTTCTGTTCTCCTCCTTGATCCAACCCGCATCAGCATTGTGTGTAACAGCATTGGACCAAAGAGAAGACCAATAAGTTGTGAGTTCTTCTTCTGTTGGTGTGCCACTGAGCTATGTATCAGTGTTTGTTTTGGTACTGATTTGTCTGTAGAAAAGTTTTTCATTGTTTGTGAATAATTTATTTTGTTGTTTTCATAGTGTACATGTTTTGTATCATTTGAGTCTACGTGCTTTGGCTGCGTTTCTGTTTTAGTGTATTGATGTATTCTGTAATGTGTGTGTTGTGATGTTCATGTTTTGTGTGTGCTGTGATGTTCATGTTTTGTGTGTGTTTTGATTTTCTTGAAAATGTTTTTGAGTTGTTTCTTTAATTTGGGTGTTATGTTGTTTTTAGTGTATTGTGTCAGCCTGCCTAATTGCTGTCTAATGTCATTTACTTGTGTTTCTATTCTTCTCTGCCAGGCAGACTTGTGGTAGAATTGTGTTTTGTGTGTGTCTATCTACGATTGTATTTTCAGACCATGGTGTATTACTACTGTGACTGTCCCAGCATAAACTAATGCATGAATGTCTGAGAGTGTAGAAATTGAATGAATGTAGTGTGGTAGTAAGTGAGTGTTTACATAATTTAGTGTTTTTCCTACTTCCTTTGACATGTTGATTTTTGGTATTCGTGGTCTTTGTGTGGGATATGTATCAGTATATTTAGTGAGTTTCCTGAAATATAAGTGAGAATGTATTAACTAATTCTATGTCTATGTTATCAGTGACAGATGAGGAAGTGCTTGTAGTACTATTAGTGGTAGTTATTGTATGTGCTATTATCAATGCTTGTTGCTGGATTATCCTGACAGGTTATGTGATCTTCATTAATAATGTTAAATGTTTCTGTCTGTTGATGTATTTGATCAGCAACCTGTTGTTTGATAAGTTCAAGTGTTGTTTGTGGGATAAGGTTGTTGTGTATAATTGTTCTTTTTTTGATCGATAACCCTTTGTTCGGTGACAGTGAGGTGAGGATATTGTTGTGTAATCTATGGTGTGGTTGTTGTCTGTATGCTGTCATGTTTGTTTCGAGTTTTGTGATTGCGTAATAAGTACAGATGATACAATCGTTCATTTCTATTGTCCATTTCATCCTTTGGCATGGTTTTCCAGCCTTTGTGGTCTGTGATGCATTGCCATAGAAACACCAAGGCTAGGTTGGTTCCTCACATCTGTTGAGGGCATTGTAGTAGCCATGCTTGGGCCGGTGCTGCTTTCACCACAAGTAACCAAAGGAGACTGTGGCCGATTTTTCAAATGTGAGCCTCTGCCGAACCCACAAATGCAGACCTTGTTAATTCGGGCTACATCCGAGGCGGTATCACACTTTGATCTGTTACTACCGTGATAAAAATCTCCACGGAATGTGGGTGTGGTCACTCTTAGCTTCATTTCTCCCCATAGACCTTACTGGCATGGATGTCCCTACCAGGAGCTTGTGCTCCAGCCTGCATTGCTCTATGGTTCAGTAAAATTACTGGGTTCTCCCATCACAACCAGGTGGCCAAGGGAGAACTATTATTATTATTATTATTATTATGTTGGGTTTTGTGAGTTATACTTGGTTCACACCAGTGGCTGTATACTATGCCGGACCAAAGTAGTCAAGGCATAGCAACCAAAACAAAACTAAAATTAAATAAGTGTGTCAGTGTGTGTGTGTCTGTATTCAGGAATTATTATTATTATTATATCTATTTTAGTAATAATATTTGTAAATTTTTCATTATTTATGAATTTATTTATTTTCCAATAGAGTTTATGTGATCAAAACATCAAAAATTTTATTTGTACAGTATAACTTCATTAAAGTGTTGATTTTATTTTGTGGATTTGTGGAGTTCTGTTATGTTTGTTAATTTTCCCACAGATTTTCATAAATTTACCACTAATCTCTCTATAGTGAACCTCTATACCAAAATGGCAAAAATTTAGTTCCTTCCATTTTACTGTATTTAAATGTCAGTGCAATTTACAAACCATAAATTCACAATATTAATTTTGAGGCCATATTCATTCTGTATTCTGTCTTTCAGTAGTGATTGGTTTTATATAAACTTAATTTACATGAGACCAAAATTATGTCATTCTTCTGAAGCAAAAAAAAAGCAATATAAAGATGAATTATATCTAGAAGTTTTAATATATATGAAATACCTTTTATAGAAACAACTTTATTTAAAAGACCAACTTTCTCTTCTACGGTAGATTGAAATACTGAAGAAGGCAACTTTAATCTGCTCTCCTATTATTGATAAAATGGATAAGAAAGTTTTAATCTATATTCAAAATATAAATATATTTAAATATTCAAAACAATGTTTACCATTGTTTTGAATTGAAAAATTCAAATTTATTTCCAGTTCATCCAAATAATTTCCCTAACTGACATTGAAACACTACAAAGCTCCTATTTAAGATACTTATCAATGCATAATTTTGACATATGAGGTCAAGGACATTTGTAAGGAGTAATGCAATAAATAAGTTTTTACAGTCATACTATTAGGAATTTTATATAAACTGCATTTTCTTTAATATATGTAGACAGCAATGAAAATGATATAATGGTACTATATATTTTATATTATAATATTACTGTATAAAACTGGAAAAATAATGAAATGAATAAATGAGATTTTGAATCTGGTCTGGTTTTGAAGAATAAAGTTGTAAGATTGCACTGAAATTTTATGATAAAAATCAGTAAACTGCATAACCTTGATAGAAAAGAGACATATCTGAAATAAATGCATAAATGAATAATGTTTATTAATGCATCTTTCAACATTTTTCAGCATTTTTTCACACAAGTGCTCTTAATGAATTTATAATATCAGAATTACTCAATTCAGATACTATAATGAGTACTAAAGAAAAGTATTCATTTTAGAAAGAATTCAAATATATTGGACTTCAAACTCGCATTTGAGTTATAATTCCAAGTCCAATGTATTCAAAAAACACGGTTTCGAAGACAACATAGAAATTACAACATAGAAATTCAAATATACTTTTTAGATACCAGGATATGGCTGTAAATATATAAAAAATGATGTTAAAATAAAAATATCACATATTTTTTCCTCCTTAGATCTTTTTGTTTTGACAATATAGAACAAATTAACTATTTATTCATTAATCTAAAGTTACTGTAAACCCAAGTTATCCAATATTTAAAATGTAATTATAATTTTTCTTTAATAAGTATTGTGTTTTTTTTTTATCAGAATCTATTTAATACATTCAATACTATTTTTGGATTCTTTTAACACATCTGCTGCCAGTTAATGCAATTTTGCATCACTCAGACACTGGAAGTTCTTTGATATATTACACATGTTATTTTTCAGATGTAATTTATTACTATTTGGAAGTGTAAGAAACATTTTAGGTGCCAATGATTCCATTTCATTACATCACACAATTCCATATAGATTGCTTGAAATGAAATAAGTTTTTTTATAATTTGTGTACAACAGTAACATATTTTATGAAAAAAAATGAATTGGAATATTTGGTGCATCTTTCTTTTCAGTGGCGACAGCTAAACTGTTAATAATGCTCGTTATGGTTTGGTACAGACACTATAATAGGGAAGTTATTTAGTAAAGAATGGGGCCTAACACTAAGAATATTCAGACTTCAAGATCCAACCAAATTTAAACCTAAGACCTACAGAGTGACAGAAATTTCCCTTATCCCCTTCAGCTATCTCATTTGATAACAATTTATGTTTAAAAATATTTCATATGTTGAAAAATTTCATGAAGTATTAAATAACTATTTAGATAACAGTAAAATCATTTGTGATTATTTCATAATTCAATAATAAATCTAAATTTTCATAAAAATATATACCTTGACTTCCATCTGATACTCATCATTGGATATTCTCACTCTTTCCAAAACTGGTTCCCAGTCAGGTACTAAATCAACATCTTTCAAATGTTGCAAATAGTCATAATCATCATCAAAATAGACTCCAAACTTTCTTTCTTGTTCTTTCCTTTTTTGATAATCTGTCTAAATGAATAATTAATATAAATGACTCAAATTTCTATACTGCATTAAACAATTTAATCATTTAATAAAATAAAAATAATAATTGATGTATAAAAATATTACTTTTAATATAAAGTCTTATTTAATAAATATAAAGTGACCAAAAATGTTAGTGATTAATGTGTTTTTGCAGTGTATGAATATTTTTGAGTTGAATATAGAATATAGTGGTATCTGGTTTGCATGATAAATATAAGATTAAAGATTTTTTAATTGTATAGTACATATACATGGTCATTAAAAAGATATCCATGATTTTAATGTCAAATAGTTTCTTTTTGGTAACTGTCTGTGTGTGTGATTACAGTCACAATGTTTGAGATGCATTCAATGATAGGTTCCCTGATTGCTGGATTGGATGAAGTGGTTTTATTATGTACTTGTCCAGCAAGAAGTCCTATCTGATTCATCTAAACTTTTAACATTTTGGCCTATTTATAGACCAAAATGCTAAATTTCCAATAATCTATTGTTTGTTCTGTTAATCTTTTAAATTTAAGTGATTAAAGCAATTGTTTAAATATAAAATAAAGCAATTTCTTTAATAAATGAACAGCTTGTAAATTACACATCCATGTTAGAACAAATGGCACTACTACTAACAAATATACAATGCAAATTTCTAAATGAAATTTATTTATTTATTTATAATTATTAAATTTAACAAGAGATGATTGCCTAACTGCCTACCTCTTGCCAAATTACTCAGTAATTATTTAGACTTAATGGCTTGATATAGGAATTTGACTGTTTCATGTTTGAAGTAATTAATGAGTTGGTTGTATTTATTATACACAATGTGAATGAAAAAAAAAATGAAGACTGAACCTAAGACTTTCTAATCAGGGAATGCAAAAGTTTTAATTTCATTGCATTTGTGATTAAAAACTGGTAAATCAATTTATTAAATATTTTATCTTGTATAACAAGATGAGGAATAAAATAAAACAGTTTGTTGCATCAAATTCTAGTAAACTGAGTATTCATAAATTAGAGGCACAATGCATTTTAAATATTAAGAAAATGCTTATATATATATATATATAAAGCATTTAAAATAAAATTAGCTCTTACTTTTGTTTCTTTTGAAGATGACTGTAACAAAACATGTTTTGGTGCTGTTTCATCAGCCTGAAGTGGATCTTTCTGACTACGATGAACCAAATGAAAAGTTACTGCCTTCTTTTTATCAATAAATTTCTTCTTTTTTGTAGGCTAGATGTAAATGTAAATTTTATTATTATTATTTGATATTATAATATCATATAAACAATACTAAATAGATAATTACAAATAAATTTTAATAATTTTAGAAACTTCATTTTTATATAAAATTAGCAAACAATGCACAGAAAAATTCATTCTTATCCATATAACACTTATTTATGTTTTAAAAAATAATATATATAAAACTTAATATTTTATAATCATGTGACTGTGACAAAACAGTAAGAACATTACACAGTAAAGCTGATTAACTCTTTATTACTGAAACCTTCATTTATTTTATTTTATTGACATGCAGTCCCAGAGACCACAGTCAGAAAATTGTTAATAATGGACATTATAGATATTTAATACATGTTTATTTAATTTGTTTGTATTGTCTAGAACAGTGTTGCTCAACATTGGCGATACTGCCCCCATGTGAGCAATTTTCCATGTTGAGAGGGCGATTAGTAACAATTTATATTTTGGGGGGTGAAAAACAAATTTCTGGGCGATATAGTAAAACATTATATTAAGAATAATTAGATATTTTATTCGTTATATCATACAATAATTAAACAAATAACACTACACTAGTCACTAGTCTATTCGATGCAGTACGAATTTGGCATTAGCCTTGGCCCTCGGCATCGGAATTTTGAAGTAAAGGAGGCGACGGTTCGTTACAGGTTGAGAAACACTGGTCTAGAACATACATCATTCATCACAACATGAAATTCCTGTTTTGTTACACATAGTATATAAATAATAGAATAATTTGTTACAAATAGTATTAAATAAATGAAAGTAAAAGCAAATTTTAGAAAGAAAATGCAAATGATTAGAAAAACCATCCTTAAATAAAAACTAAACATCAGAATTGCAATTTGTTTGTCTTAAATTATTGGCAAAGGTTTAGTACTTCAAAAATTTTGCTGAAGAATTTAAATGTAAATAAAACTTCTGTACATGGTCCATCCACTATTTCTTTCAAACAATTTGCTGCAGAGAATACATTTCAGAGGTTTTTATTTTGCTTGTCCAGGTGAAAAAAAATCAAAATTTTTTACCGTGTCAACATAATGTCCAGTTGAACAGTTTTAAAAATATTTATTTTATTGTTCTACAGTTTTGTAAAGGTGAACACTTTTGAAAAAGTGACAACTCTGAATGACATACAACTGTTGAATTGAAATGCAACTCATATCATAAACCAGAAGCGTCCCAGAATGCTTATGAACATTCCAGGAAGGAAAATTGTTTCGAAAAATAGTTCCAGATTTTTTCATTTTCCCCATTTTTCAAGTTTTTCCCCATTTAACAGGGTATTCAAAATTCCAGACAAACTGATTTCGGGGAGACTATCTTGCAAAGGATCTCATGTAGTCCATCAAATCCTTTGATATATTTACTTCTACGGACATGATCTACAGCTCTAATAAAATTCCAAATGACTCATTCAGCAATGCATTTGTATACATTTGAATTAAACGATTAGTGTTTGTGATTTCACGATATTGGTAGTAGAAAAGCCATAAAAAAAAAAAAAAAACGAATTCGTCAGTATTTATATTTTCTAATTTTCTTTGTTATGTCCTAGAATTTTTTTAAATAAAATTTTCATTAAGTGGCGAATAACTGTATCGTTTTTAGTTATTAAAAAGAGAGTGTAATCTAATTATTATTGCATAGCGACTTCCTAAAACTAGATAATTACAGTCTTTAAATTCAAACACTTTACATGTGATCCAGACACGTGGTCGACCAAATGAACTGACATAAAATTGATTTAAAATCTTACAAATTTTACTTTGTTTTATTGTTACATTTAACACTTAGTATACAAATGACTATCTTACCATGCTGATGACGTAGAACTAGTATAAATAATACAATTAAAGAAAATGTTGATACACCATTAACATGTTACAGAATAAATAAAAGTGTTGCCAGCTTTTTACAAAATAATTAGTCACGTGATATCTTACGTATCAACTAAATATTAATTTATTAATTTTGAAAGTGAAAAAGTAATAATATTGATTTGTCCAAAATTATGATTTCATATAAATTAAAATTTTTATTACGAATATTTTTTTTTGTCTCCTCGCCTTGAGCGCACTAAAAAAATATTTTCAGCAGTTCCATTAGGAATTCGGCTAAGCCACAGTGCGGCGGGCGAATGGTAACAAATCGAGTAAATATATCCGAACGGACCATCCCCGAAAAATTCGTGAAATTTTTTTGATTTTTCTAAATTCCTAAACGATAATATACCGCCTTGAGCGCTAGGGAAATCCACAAACAGTTCTGATAGATGTGCAATGCGTGCATCCATGTAGGAGGCAGATAGTGCACAACTAAATACTGTATCATGAAATTCGATGAAAAATCAAACGTTTCACATTAAATTTCGTGGCGACGCAACAATGAAACTCTGACAATTTGTTGCGAGCGGTAAGTTCAGATTACGAACTTTATAAATTTGGGTATTTTTGAACATTGTTAAGCTGAATATCACAATAAATGGCAATGCTTTTCCGACAAAGTGCCATTTAGATAACAATTGGTCGGTATGGTCACACAGACTACGAATGGGGTCTTTCCACTTATTTTAAGAAGATACTTTTCACCCATTTTTTATTGTTAATTTTCGTTCAGTAAAAAATCAATGGAATTGTTAAAGCAAAATGAAAATTAATAAATACTGTACATTAAATTGCTATTCCCCGCTATGGTTTATATACACACTATATCCCATATGAAATTCACACCGCTATACTTTCATTAATGAGAATTTCTTTATTTTCACAAATATTTTGTGTTCTAGCAATCGATAATTTGTATAAACCGATTTTTTAAATTATATATCGAACATTAAAATCTTTAGAAAGATTAAAATTACCATACGTAATAATTAAAGATTAGACCATAATATTCATTTCTCACTTTGAAAATTTCATTATAATTAAAAACGATCGTTTTCTATCATAAATCTTGATTGCATTTGAACATAATAAATTATATATTTCTTACTTATAATTTAGATGAAATTAAGACAATAGGAATATTTCTTAATTAATGCAAGTTCTGTTTTCACAACATTCGCTCATTTTTCTTTGCAGAATGGATAATTTCAAAGAATTGAAGAAGTGGCACACCTCGGACCATGCCCAGAGTCGGTAGATTAACTGGTCTTTCGACTNATAAATTAAAGATTTTACCATAATATTCATTTTTTACTTTGAAATTTTCGTTATAATTAAAAAGATCGTTTTCCACAATCTCATAAATTTTTATTGCATTTTAACATAAAACAAATTTATGTATTTCTTACTTACAATTTACATGAAATTAAAATATATTTAGATGTAAACATAGATGACGTCATCGTTTCGTTACATTATTGTTTATGACATCGAGGTTGACGGCAATTTCCTCTACAGAGATTTTGCTAAATTGTATCATAATAGGCCTACAGTGGACTATCTATATTCATGCCGTCCTTATCCCGAACAGTTTGTGGATATGTAGTCTATCCTTTCCAAATGTTCTATCACACGGTGTGGTAGTCACATACGAAAAGTCCCCCTGTTCCATCTATAAGGAGATAGCCCGATGTAGTAAGCACAGAATTCTAAGGAGTGAGGAAATTGTAGGGTTTCAGAAGAATCCTACAATTTCCTCACTCCTTAGGAATGAAAAAAACGCCATCGAGAAAAAATAGTGCCTCGGCGGAAACAACTTGAATGGTTAGAAGAGTATAAAGCCTTCGGGAAAAGGACGATAGTTAACTTCGAGGAGACAGACTCTATTTCGTCAGGCTGGAAAGCGTATAAAAAATTATAAGTAAAGGTTTCTTCTTCCAATTGTCAGACTAGTAATATCTATCACGTCTTTCTTAATTATGGATAATTAACAGAGACAGAGATTAACTTTCATTGTTCTAAACCTGGAACAGTTTTATTTTAATTAGGGCAAATAAATTTAATTACATTGTAATTTTTTATAATTATATAATCTGACAAAACACATTGTTTAGTCTTAGAAACATTTTCCCAAGTACAATACAACAATTACACTGTAATTTAAATTTACATTGTAATCTAAACATGACCAAATAAAAGTTTATTTCAAAAATCAAAAACGACGAATTTATTTAAAAACCAAAGACGAATGAAAAATAACTATATAAAATAAAAACAGAAAAAGACAATGGCGTATTCTGTATATATCTAGAATGTATCCTTCTCAAAAAAAATAAAATTAAAAGCGCCGGAACACTTCTGCGCCGGCGAGAATCTGCGACCTCCCCGTAGAATATGTAGAACAATATGTAGAATATAAACAGAAGAAAACGATGGTGTAATCTGCTTATACCTAAAGTGTATTTTTCTCAAAAAAAATAAAATTAAAAGCGCCGGAACACTTCTGCGCCGGCGAGAATCTGCGACCTCCCCGTAGAATATGTAGAACAATATGTAGAATATAAACAGAAGAAAACGATGGTGTAATCTGCTTATACCTAAAGTGTATTTTTCTAAAAAAAAATAAAATTAAAAGCGCCGGAACACTTCTGCGCAGGCGAGAATCTTCGACCTCTCAAACCGGTTTCGTGTATGGCCCAGAAGTGAACCTGCGAGCTTAAAAGGGTTTTAAACCCGCAAAGGTAATATTTTGATTTCTCTCCTACAACGTTCGTTACTAAAGTGTCAACATGAAAAAGATATTTGAGTTTAATAAAGAAAAGAAAAGACGTAGGCTAAAATAAACCTCGGCATTTCCAAAGTAGATCACCCAAAACTTCATTAAAATGAGAAAGCACTTAACGTAGTGACAGTGATGGGATTCAAATTAACAACTCCGAGGAGACTATTACCTGAAACCAGTGGCTTAGACTACTCGACCAACCTACTGCTGTGCACTGATATAACCTTTCGTCTATGTGTCCAACTTTTCGCTTGCAGCGACTAGAGCAGTCAACTAATCCCGTGTTTTTCAACCGGGGCGATATCGCTCCATGTGGGCGTTTTTCCATGTTTAGGGGCGATTAGTAACAATTTATATTTTGGGGTGCACAAACAATTTTCTGGGCAATATAGTAAAACATTATGTTAAGAATAATTACATATTTTATTCGTTATATCGTACAATAATTAAACAAATAACATTATACTAGTCACTAGTCCATTCGATGCAGTACGAATTTAGCATTAGCCTTGGCCCTTGGCATCGGAATTTTGAAGTGAAGGGGGCGATACTATGTAACGGTTTTATTGAAAAGGGCGATACTACGTTAAACTAATCGTTCATCTTCTCCGGACTTCAATTACAATGTGTCTGTCGCTACTTTCAATATAGCGACTTTCTCTGAGATAAATTCCATACACTAGATATGGGTGCGATCGTTTTCTTTTCAATGAACGCTTTCGTAGTTCCTTGCACGCGAAAATTCAAGCAACTTTCCACTGAAAGTTTCTTTCGCATTATGCCAACTTTTAATCCGTGTTTCGGTTGCCTTTGTGCGCGTTGTTTACTTTACGATCCAATACCAGACGGTACATGTTGTCACACAAGACCAAACAAAACCAGTTTGGCTGGGCATCCGTTCAAGAATCGAATTACAAAATTGAAGCCCTATAATGTAGCGATTTACGAAGATGTAACGATGGATGGCGCGATTATGATGAAAACCCTATCTTTTTTTCGGACAGTGTTTGCGAACGCAATCCATCTCCTCTAATTACAAGTATTGGTTTAAAGAATAGCACGGAACAAAGCCGAGGCCATATAGTCGCAGGGAATTAATTACTCGTAGTCAATCTCTGCGGCTAAGGCTTGGTTACAACACGAGAACTTTATCCATTGTGTTTTCGAAGTGTCAGTCAGCATGCACAGTTAAAATTTTGATAATGATGTAAGCAGTCGGTAGGGTGGCCTAGCGGTCTAAGGCGCTGGTTTAAGGCGCCAATCTCTTCGGAGGCGTGGGTTCGAATCCCGCCCCTGCCAGTTAATATGTTGTTTTGCGTCGATGTATGCAAACCAAATCGTCGCTTTTTGTCGATTCGTACAAAAAGAGACAAACAAGAGAGAGGTTGCGGCCGACGTTTTTAACGAGAAAACGTGTACGTTGGACGTTCAGCGCCGCCTTTCTGTAAGCCTAGAAGTTTGACAATGCTGTTTGGAACGTCAGTAAATCATGCTCGGCGTTCTAAACGCCATCGTCAAACTTCTAGGCTTACAGGAAGATGGCGCTGAACTCCGACGTACACGCTTTCGCGTTTAAAACGTCAGCCCCAACTTCTCTATTGACATTGCTACGTTTGCTCAATGCGTTTTTTCGTAATCGATTCGCGCTTAGAATTTAAGGTTATCAAACAGATTTCTGAAGCAAATGCGAATTTTGCACGTTACGGCTGAAAACCGAAATAACAGAATTGTTTGCAGACTAACTGTTTCTGCGCACTTTGCACAGCGTTTGTTAAACATGACCGTGAAAAAAAGCAAAAGTTATAGTACAAATAAGGTGGCGGGTAAAAAGAAAGCTTTGCGTTTCAAGATTGCGCATAAACCTCATTGGCAGGGGCGGGATTCGAACCCGCGCCTCCGAAGAGACTGGTGCCTAAAACCAGCGCCTTAGACCGCTCGGCCACCCTACCGTTATAACGCGTTTGACAAATACCTCATCAATTAAGAAGAAGCAAGAAGGTTCTGGCCTTTCTCCTAAAATCCGGTGAGTGCCTACGGTAGCAGACAACAGTGAACAACGTGAGGCTAAACAGGCAAACAACACTAGCACATAATCACATCAGCTGACATTTTTGTTTTTCATTAGATGGTCATCATTTTTCCTATTCGAAAATCACAGTCTTCCTTGTCCTGCTATCTCATCACAAGGAGAACGTTTGTTTTATTTACCTTTCAGAAAACTAAATTTCCTTTTTTAAC